TGGTTGTCGGTTTTGCCGCGTCGACGTTACAATTATTAAAACAAGAAATTGATCTAAAGCGTTCAGCGTTCGGATGCGAAAAAAATTGATCCTTGGATCTGGAGAAGCGAGAGGACGGTGTTTGTTCGATCAACAAACTGTTGAGAGATTTCAATATACCGTAGATCGAGCCACGGCTGACCGGGCGGAAGTTGCGTTTCGTTCACCTTAAGCTGTTCCGCGATTCCGCGCAGGGATTCTTTCTTTCATCCGCAACGTGCGGATACTTTCTCCGCCCTCTGTGTGTCTGTAAAACTAAGTCTCAATCTCGGGTTCTTCCTTTCATCGGAAACCATGAACTTTTCTTATCTCCGCCGGGTTTTGATTGGAACTACGCCGTCGGAACAGAGGAAACAGCTGCGACGTAGCACGTGCCAGATCGTTTCTATTAAGGGGACTTGTCCAGTTGTCTATCCGAAAGGAACAGCTACATTTTCACCTTTCATATTATTGGGAAAACGATCTCGCATTTACTTGTGTCAGTTTTTTTTTTATTTTTCAACAGATTTTTAATATTTATGATTTTCACAAAACAAATCGCATTGTTCTCGATCCTGTCAATTTTTTCGTTGTTTTTAACTTCAAAGTAGCTTAATTTGTTGCGTAAACCGTAACGAGACGCAGCTCATTTTTTAACTTCGACATTGTCGAAAAATTATCTTGTCTTTATTTGTGTGAGTTTTCCTATTATTAAGCGGATTTTTAATATTTACGATTTTTTTAAATTAAATCGCATTGTTCCTAATCATGTCAATTTTTCTTGCCGTTTTTAACTTCGAAGTAGATTAATTTATTGCATAAACCGTAGCGAGACACAGCTCATACTTTAACTTCGACATTGTTGGAACAATTATTTTGTCTTTGCTTGTGCGAGTTTTCTTTTAATTTTGAGTGGATTTTTAATATTTATGATTTTTGAAAAACAAATCGCATTGTTCTTAATCGTGTCAACCTTTTTCGTTGTTTTTCACTTCGATGATTAATAGTTGGAAGAATTATTTTGTTTTGACTTGTATCAATTCTAAACTTTTACGTGGTTTTTTAATGTTTCTGGTTTTTCATTTTGACGTAGACTAATTTGTTGCGTAAACTATAGTGGAACACAGTCCTTGTTTTAACGTCAATATTGTTGCAAGAGTCATTTCCTGTTTCAATAAGTTTTGTAGTTTCTTTAATTTTGTAGATATTTTTACACATTGCAACTTCTACATTATTGGAATAAATTATTTTGTTCTCAATTGTGTCAATTTTGTAACAGTTTGTTGCATAAATCATAACAGGGCACAACTATTTTTTCAAGTCCCGCAATATTAGAAAAATTATTTTGATTTCATTTACATTAAATTTTGTGTCATTTTCAATCGCCCTAATTGTAATATTATTAATTGGACTTGTCTAATGTTTCAATAATCAGTAATCTTTAAAAGTATATGAAATTACATCATATACCATAACAGTTATTGTAAATGAATCTGTATTCTATTTGCATAATAATAATATTTAATTAAATTTAACGACTATTAAAAATACATAGAAACAGTAATTATTATTCTATTTAAAGTAGATAAGAATTGATTGTTCTGTTGTAGTTCTTTTCAATTCAAATTTTAATATATCAGGATTACCAGCTATACATTATTAACCTTTAAATTTGATGTTAGTAAAAATAGTTATCATTGTTTGTAGGGTGCACGGCGAATACACGCGATACTAAAACTTCGCGATTACAAAATCTCTCGGGTTGTAAGGCCAATTACGCTAAGCGACGGAATTGATTAGTATCGCTGTTCGTCTAATTAAAGATGAACTAAAACACAAGACACCAATGACCCATGACTAATGACACAATGACTCATAATTAATGACCAATATAATTATACCGTTTCGTGGACAGAAAACTTGAAATTGATTGACCAGTGACGCGATGAAAGGGGATGTAAAAGTGACGTAGCACGCAGTGCCGCAGGTAGCAAGAAACCCTGGACGGGCGATCGAAGCGGTGCGTGCTAATGACCCTATTATAAAAAATGCTGCCGATGAGGCGTGCATTACTCGAAAATGCAGAAATGACTTTATTGCCGGAAAGAAGACGGCTCGAAAAAATCATCAACTTAGAAACTGCAATTGTTCCGCGTTAAAAGTATTACAGAAGCTATCTATATTAATAAAGCATACGCGACTCGACCGCTCGACCCAACACCGTCGGGACATAAGCATACAATAGATTCCGAAAATTACCAATAGTAAAATTAACAATAGTATCTAATTATCCGAAAAGCCGTTATTTCCTGCCTGTAACGCATTTGCACATAAGCCAATTGTAATTCTATCTTTTTTCGCC